TTAGCCCTGCTGCTGGCCCAGCCTCCCTGATGCCTTTAAATACAATCCCCCCCCAACACCAGTCAGGCCAGTGACTGTAAGGTGTAGGAGCAGGACCAGGGTACTTTAATCCACCAGGGACGCCGCCCCAACAGGATCACCTTAGCGATGCTGCTGGCCCAGCCTCTCTGATGGCTTCCAACACACTCCCTCACCTACTACACCTAATAGGTAGTTGTCTGTCAGGTGTAGCAGTGGTTGCAGGGTGCTTAAAGCTACGAGGGAGCCTGCCTCAGCAGTAACACCATAGTGATCCTGCCAGCCCTGCCTCCACAGTGGCTTCTAATAGTCCTCCTCCCTCCTCCTCCTACACTGGACAGGCTGGTGCCTGTCAGGTGTAGGAGAGGAGCTGGGATGCTTACAGCCGCCAGGGAGGTTCAATCAGCAGGATTGCCTTAGCACTGCTGCTGGCCCAGCCTCCCCAATGCCTTTAAATACAATCCTCCCAACACAGGCCAGTGTGTCTCAGGTGTAGGAGCTGGGCCAGGGTATGAATATTTATGGGGAGATAGTAAAGGATATTTCTCGGAGCCATTTCGATGCGTGCCTCCCTCATGAACCTGAAGAAATGTCCACCACATCACCACTCCCTCACACCAACTCCCCCTCACATCTCTTACCTCTTACTGCCCCCAAGAAAGCTCCTGGCAAACATTGAGCCAGATACACCAACGTTACAAGGAGTAGGCAACTTAGGAATGTGGCGAACATAGTACTCCTGCAGTGCACAAAGCTGTACAGGCCAAGTACCAGCAAGATCACCCTGCACTGAGCTGCACAGGCCAAGTACCAGCAAGATCACCCTGAGGTGCTCAGAACAACACAGTCTCCATATGAACAAAACAATCCAGGAACACAAGTAGAGAGGCCATCACTTTCGTGGAAGGTAGCAGGAGTGGACTTAACAGACGACTGCTTCTTAAACAGACAGTTCTATGTGGCCTGCTCCAGAGTGAGCTCATCAAGCAGCCTGGTGATCCTAGCACCTGAGGGCAGAACCACCAATGTGGTCTAGAGAAAAAGTACGTATGTCTCACTTCATCTCTTACACTACAATCTTCTCCGTTGGAATTCCTACAACAAATGTCACATTTCAAATTTCACACCAGTATTATAACTGGATTTACGGAACTTAAATACCGTAGCGAAGCACGGGTAGCAGGCTAGTACTGCATATTATTATCCTGTCCTTCCTCCAGAGTTTAGGGAGTTATGCATTCTTATTCTACCTCACAAACAGCCCTCTGATGGCAGATTAGGCAGGGAGAGAGTGATTGGCCCCAGGTCACGGCAGACCTGAGTTTCCCAGATCCTAGTCACATTCCAGCCACTATATCATGGTGGTTCTTGTCAAACCACTATATTGCTCTAATAATAATCAATAACTATCATATGGCATTGTATGTAGTATAGCCAGGAGAAACTAAGATTGTCTGGCAGCCAGTAGTTTTAGTTCTTTTAGCCCGTTCGCGGGGTAGGGCGGGGTAGAAATACTCGAATAAATAAATAAATATAAATAAAAATTATGCACCACTAGGTGGCAAACTAGACTTGTTTTTAAGGCAAGAGATGTTTCGGAGGTGGTTTGCCATTGCCTGCCTCTGCGTCATGTCCCAGTATTCCTTGGAGGTCACCCATCCAAATACAAGCCAGGGCTGACCCTGCTTTGCTTCCGAGATCTGATGAGATCGGGCTAGCCTGGGCTATCCAGGTCAGGGCTGGATACAATGTAATTGTATTGCTCTGTAGAATTGGAGCAATATGAGCTGAGTTGCAGAGCTACTGCCTCAGATTTTATTATCCCTTCCCTCTCATGGGTGGGAGATGGACTGGTAATATATGATAATTCCAAACCTGTGATGTGAATTCAATAAGCTTGGAGTTCCCTGCCTCAGTAAATAGCAATTAAGTGATCTCAGCTTGGTGATGTCATATGCTTTGAATTCCTGGATTTGGAACACATAATTTTCAGAAAATCTAGCTCCTGTCTAAGTTGACTACAGAGAGGAATCCACCACCGGCATACCATGTTGTAGATGAGATTTGAAAATGCTATATAAGTTGGTTTGTCTGCATGAATATGCATGATGAGGTTCTAACTTTTGCCAATTTATCTCTTTCAGATACAAAAATGCATGAGACCATTAAAAAGATGGGTGTCATAGACAGAATACTTGGTTATTGTGCTGAATGCATTCACCGTGATGGCAGGGTAAGCAAAGACATTTTTTTCTCCTTGTATTCCTTTTGTAAGTTCAGTAAAAGAACAGCATACATAACATAGGAACCAGTTTGGTGTACTGGTTAAGTGTGTGGTCTCTAATCGGGGAGAACCGGGTTTGGTTCCCCACTCCTCCACTTGCAGCTGCTTGTGCAAGCCATAGTTCTGTCAGAGCTGTTGTCTTAAGGACAGTTCTGGAAAGAGCTTTCGCAGCCCCACCTACCTCACAGGGTGTCTGTTGTGGGGAGGGGAAGGGAAAGGAGTTTGTAAGCCGCTCTGAGACTCTGAATGGCGGGGTATAAACCCAATCTCCTCCTCCTCCTCCTTCTCCTCCTCCTCCTCCTCCTTCTTTCCAAATATCTTCACATTGCAACGTCACCTCCATATGTCTTGCTTCTATAGCATAGAAGTGTTAGTTGTGGTTAAGTATATCTATTTTAAACTTTAGCTTCCCTACTTTTAAGATCAGCCACTTTGAGAACCTTATTGTTACTACGATGAACATACTTTTGAACTCAGGACAAGGAACTGGCAGATGAAGTGGCAACAGCAATTTTAATGTGCCAGGGTATTCTAGGTAGAGAAATTTTGTTTGTTCAAGTGATGAAGTTCTGTGAACAATTTTAAATAATTTTTTGCTCTTATGATACAATGCATCTGGGAAGCTTTGATTTTGGTGTATGTTCACTTTTGGCCCTGGCCAAAGAAGAAATGTATTGTTTTAGACTGAAGGCTTAACATGTACAAATGCATAATGTTGCAACTATTCTGCATGCAATGCAGTACAGTAAAATCATGATGTAACTAATTAAGTCTAAGATGATACATAGTTCAGCTATCAGCTTGCTAGGGTTGAGCAAGAACTGAGAAAATGTGGTTTGGTTCGTGGTTCATGATGTGCCCGATTCGAGAGTCATGGTACCTTTAGGCACCAAATGAACTGGTTTGGTTCGTGAGGTTTGTGGCGTGGTAGAACCCCCCCACCCCCCGCATGCTAGGGACACCAAGCTCGTAGGGGATCTCTGCCTAACTGTTCTCTAACTGCCCTCCAAGTCTGAATTACAGCACCCCAAAGAAGGTGCCCCCAGGAAAGTGCTTTCTGGGGAAATGACAGGCAGAGATTTAGGAGGCTCAGGGGTGTATAGAACAGACTCTGTGTGAGCTAGAGACACAGACCTCCCCCTGATGCTCCTCTACATGCCCTCCCAAGTTATATGCAAATAGGACTTAGGGGGTCCTATTTATTCCCCCTCCCCAGAAGATGCCCCCAGGAAAGTGCTTTTGGGGGAAATGTCAAGCACAGGTTCAAAAGTATAGCTCTGATCCACTGGACCCTTCAATTGCTGCCTGAGCTAATCACCTAAGACAACTGAAGAAGACCAAAAAGCTGACTGTAAAATGAGGAAATTATGTTTGCTAGCACATTATTATGTTATTGGTTTTAACATTTAGTTGAAGTTGATGATTTTACATGGTATTGTTGGAATTTTATTCTGTTGTGTAAGCCGCCCTGAGCTGGCCTCGGCCAGGAGGGCGGGATAAAAATTTAATAAATAACAACAACAACATCTTAGGATGGATGGGACAAAGGAAACAACAATTGGATAATTTAGGGTTGATGTGTGGCAGGGAGTGACACGTCTTGGGGAAGGGGTGAGACAAAGGAAAGGGGAATAAGGGTGCAATCCCTTGAATGATCCGATGCTTCACTTTAACAATCCAATGCTTGTCATAGGCGTTATCTGGATCAGTGGCTGGAAGGCTTAATTTCTTCTTTTATTTCTAGTTGGGCAACAGTCTTTGTTTTAGGATGGTTCGGGGAAGGGGAATATGCTATGCGATGGAGAAGCAATCCCTTTCATGTCTTCTGTGCAGGAACATCTGGCCTCTGTCAGAACTTGGTTCCTCTCTGGTCTGCTGCTGTATTGTGTTCATGGCAACCGGGGCTGCTCGTCTGACTCACAGTGCTTGTGTAGATATATATTGGAGCATGGGCAGAAGTCCTCTGTAGTCCTGGGTCCAGATTTGTCTTGGCATGTGTCTCTGTCAAGGCTGCCCTGGCCACAGTATACAGTCCATAGTCCAGCATGGCATTGGTAGCAAAGAGTCTTTTTAATAGCACAGTCTGGAACTGCTTCATATGGGCAGTGCTAACAACTCTTTGCCTTTGTGGAAAGCCCCAGGAACAGATCAGTGGAAGGAGACTCCGAGCCTCCTGGTGATGCCCTGCTAGGGCCGGATTCAGTGGGCTGGCAAGAGGGGTTTGGTGCCCAGGCACAGGGGCCTGTGATATGCAGGGGCTGGAGGACTTCTTCCCCCCACAATAAGCATGCTTTGCACCCACTTTCACCCTCATGGCACACAGACGTGCTCACAATCAGGAGGGGTGGGAGGATATAAATGTGTTAGTTAAACCCCTCTGCTTGGCATGAGCAGAGAGCCGGGGTGGCTCAGAGCCTTGAGTCCACCTAACACCCAAACCCCAGCAGGGGAGAAGTTTTTCAAAATCAGGAGAGGTGGGAGGGTATAAAATGTGTGAGCAGAGAGCCAGGGTGGCTCAGAGTCCCAAGTCCACCTAAAACCCAAACCCCACTAGGGAAGTGGTGTTCACAATCAAGAATAAATGCATGTTCTCTGCTTTTAACAAGTTTCTTGCCTCTTTGTCTAACTGCCAACACCCAACAGAGGAGAGGGTTTGAAGTTGAACTGAGGGTAAATATAGCATTCTGATCCCATAGAGCAGAATGGGAAAACTTATTTGGAGCCAGCAGTGCTTGTTAAGCTTTGAAGGGTGTTTCCAAGGCTAGAGAATTCCGCCCCACCTGTTGCTTTGAAGTTTGGTACACATTTTGATTGAGCAGAGAAATTTATCTATTCACAAACTACCACGAACCACTTGAAAGTTCGTGCCGGTTGATCACGAACCAGCCAAAATTAATCACGGCCTTTAGTTTGTGAACTTGTTCATGCCCATCCCTACAGCTTGCCTTAGGCTGAGCCTTTCTAACAGTTCATGGATTTTTATGCATGTATAATTGTTGACTTTTTATTAATCCTAAATTTTGAAATGCAGTAGATGGGACATTTCCATTCCTGATAACCATTTCATCTCAGTGTTCACAACTGATTGATTGAGTTGATGCTTCCAGAGTGGTTTTAAAGTACCATATTGTATTTGCAAACAAGTGTAATTAAAAAAAATATCTCTTGACAGATCATGGACTGTATGGTATTGCCATGTCTTACACTCTTAAGGAAGTTTGTATATGCAGATCCAGTTAAACGGCTGTCATTGGCCTATCAACCGTATGTCTTGCTCATGTTATTTCGAGGTAATTTATTGTTACTGTATTGTGCCACTTTCTTTTGGATTTTTTTGGGAAAGTATAGAAATTTAAGGCTAATGCTTGCAATTCAGGCTGTGTAGTTATTTTACTGATTTTGCATGTTTTGGTACACTGCTATTTCAGATATGGACAGTCAAAACACTACAAAAACTCTCTTTAATATAACCTTTATTGATACTTACATTAACACAGTTCCAGTAACCTTTCTGCTCTGATATTCTGTGTTGCAATTAAGAAGAAATTAATGGGGAGGGGGATTAAAAGTAAGGGTTTTTTTAAAAAAACAAAACAAAACCTTACAACTAGCATTGATATTTAAAGGAGAAAAGTCATATGTATTTTGGCATCTTCTGCCAGTGTGGACTATTTTTTTCTTTAACAGCTAAATGTGCTGACTCCAAATTACTTGGACTTGTATCCTGTATTGCTGTAGCTTTTCAGATTGTAGAATAGGTTTTAGCTATTAAGGAAGTTTTGCTGTGAAGAATCTACTTTTATTTTAGGGAAACAAGGCTGGTATATGTCCAAGAACTAAATTGTTTAGAGTTAAAGACTGCTTGGATAATGGAGTTAATATGATAAAATTCTTCCTTCCAGAATGGGGAAAATGCAGGGCAGCTCCAGAGCATATGATTTAATCAATATCTCATTGCGTCTCCAACATCTCATCAGAGTGGTCTAGTTTTAGACAGTTGAGTACCAGTGGATTTAAGTGTGACTCATATTTGTTTATATGTAAATCAGAAGCAGTTGGTCCATACAAAAATGCCCTAAAGGTGAACAGTACACAAAGGCTTTTTTACCAGATTCCTGAAGAATGCTAATATTGTCAAGGTTAGGTTAACACAGAGTACAAGACATGCTTGTTCAGATTTATAGCAGATCTTGCACCATTGAAGATTTGGCCCTTCACGTGGATGGCCTAGGCTTGCCAGTTGGGCAGGGGCCTAATTTGGGTTGTGTAAGGAGGATAGACTTCAGGATACCCCTTGGTTTCAGTTCCTAACCTGAAATGGCCCCAGGGGGTCACTATTTGCTCCACTGGGGAAAGACAATAGTGTTCATCTAGGCTGTTTTGAGCTGGGAAAACATGTTAGCCGAATTGCTTTATTTACAGCAATTGGCAATTTATAAATGGATCCTTGCCAACTATACCAAGGTCCTGTTCCCATAAGGTTTACCAGAGTAGGATAACGAGGCTGTTGTTGTTAAAATAAATGTCTTTTACTAGAAAATATATCTCATACAAACAATACTGATGCACTCACACATTCAATCAAGTTCCTTAGAATTACAGTATTAAAATAAGCACGGTTGCATTAGAAGGTGGGGGTGATGATGGGCAATACTTATCTGTTTCGCAGCTTTGGTTGTTCCAATGAAGAATGGATGGGAAGAAATGTAAAGTAAGACTGTAACTCACTAAAGCGATAGATTCTGCTTGCAGCTTGATAGTACATTCCATTTTAAAAGCATACCTAGATTTCTTCTGCATTTAGTGGTTTAAGTTAGCAGGTTTGCGACTTTATTTTTTGTCGTTCAGTCACACAGACGAGTCCGACTCTTCACTTTATTACTCAGGATGTATACCTTAATTTTGTTTTGTACTTAGTTTCTTTAATATTCCAAGAACATGATGCTGTGGTGAATGAAGTAGCGGTGTTACTTTGCCTTCTACTGTTCGATGAAGCAGCAAGGAAAGAGATGTGGTAGGCTATACTGATTTGTTCATTCTCCTGCCAATCAAGGTGTGCAATGTTCCTGATATCTTCCAAGATGAATTTACATTTATAAGCAATGCTTATATCTGAATTTTTCCTACATGTACTTTGTTATATTTATCAGCCTGAATAATATAGAACTTAGACAATGACTACTTGTTCTTACTATTCACTATGGTGTGGTTACTGGAGACCTCATTTTTGTTAAAGTAGACCTATGAATGGGATGCTGATATCGCTAAGTCTGTGAATAAGCTAAAGCCTGTTAGTGTTAAAAAGCCTCCTTGCGTTAGATTTCAAAGTTTGATCCAAGGGCCACTAAGTGTTTTGCCCACACTAGCTGAAAGCTACAAAACATTTCATGTATAGTAGTATTAAAAGGTTCAGTGGAACTGCTGAAGAAGAGCCAACATAAGTTGCAAACCTGAAATGGAATCTCTCTGTGCCCTGCTCTGATTCATGTAATAGTAGCTTGGTGCAAATTCCAGTTTGATCCCACAGGACACATATGTAACATTGGAATGGGTAATATGATATCCTCTATTATTGGTGTTAATATTGCTTTAAACTGGTAGATTTATTGAAAAGTGGGCATTTATAATATTTTAGAACAACAATTTTTAAGACTGTGGTCTCAAAATGATATGTATTTTCCCTATCGTGTTTTTGATAAAGAGGATTTTAATCTTCAATCTTGTTCAGTTTGTATTTGTGGTGATAGTTGCTTTGGGCCTTGAAGAAACAAGGTATCAAAGTAAAATATAAATTGGTCCACTTTGGGAGTAGGGGGAGGTTCCTTGCAAGTCTCTGGCTTGTTATAAATAAACAAGCTCAGCATGCTTATTGCAGGAAATTTGCAAAGTCATGACTTTAAATATCAGGATTATAAATATACATTGATTAATCCAACAAGAACTTTTCTTGATATGTGTATTTTCTTTATAGGGCTGATGCAGTGTCCTGTGATTCTTCTAGCACTCTCCCTTTTAGTTTGCCTGTTGCAATTGTGAGACGGTAGGTCTCTTTCTTTCTCTCTCTTTTTGTTTCTGGAGCAATGAAACGCCACTGGTAAATATGCCTTATCCTTTTACGATGAAGTAAGATTTTCTAATTTGCATAGAATAGAATTCACACCAAAGCTTTGACCCTGAAGAAGTGTATGTCTCCACTTTGAATTCACTATGTAAAAAGGAAATGTCTGTGGCAATGTTTAATGATGTTGGTAGACCATAAGATCAGGAAGTCATAGGGTTTACTCTTTGTTGGTCATGCAGACATGAAATTCTAGGGAGCTCCTACATGAATGATTTTCTGCTATAAGCATTTATTTATAGAATCATAGAATCAGAGTTGGAAAGGGCCATACAGGCCATCTAGTCCAACCCCCTGCTTAATACAGGATCAGCCTAGAGCATCCCTGACAAGTGTTTGTACAGCAGCTGCTTAAAGACTGCCAGTGAGGGGGAGCTCACTACCTCCCTAGGCAGTTGATTCTACTGTTGCACAACTCTTACTGTAAAAACGTTTTCCATAATATCCAGCCGGTACCTTCCTGTCCTCCTTTAAGTGACAGCCCTTCAGATACTTAAAGAGAGCAATCATGTCCCCCCTCAACCTCCTCATCTCCAGACTAAACATTCCCAGGTCCCTCACTCGTTCCTCATAGAGCTTGGTCTCCCGGCCCCCGATGATCCTCGTCGCTCTCCTCTGCATCCACTCCATTCTGTCCACATCCTTTTTGAAGTGAGGTCTCCAGAACTGCACACAATACTCCAGGTGCAGCCTGACCAATGCAGTGTACAGCATCTGGTGAGGAATAGGGATGATGCTCAGGCTTGTTACCTTATCTTAGTTTATTATGATCCGAGATCAGCAGTCAGGAAAATCACCAATACATAAGACACATTGGATGCATAAAATAGATATTCTGTAAAAAAAATTAACAAGTAATAATAATAATTGAAATACTAGACCATCTTTGTCTGCCTTGTTGAACATGCCACAGCGCAGAAACTACTTAAGGGTAGTTTCATTAAAACAGTAGGCAAGAAGAAGAGAAATATAAAAATCATTTGATATGCCTGACTATTTGGACAGAGTTGGGGTAATGTACATATTCCGAATGTCCTGGGAAAATTGGCAATGTAAGAGGACCTTTTGATTGCTTCTACCATTCCAGACTGACATGGGCAGAGACATTGTACATATGGGATACGTGCATATCTACTTTCAAGAAGGGGAGATGGAAGGACATTAAAATGGGCCAGTGTTTGGGGAATTATAATGTATAAAGGTAATTTGATAGAATGAAATTTTTGTTGCCGTTCCCTACTGCAGCAGAGTAGGCCCGTGATCTGTCGACTTGAAGGGCAGTGTCCCATAGTCTCTGTTTGATTAATGCTGTGGCTCCTGAGAATCCAAGATGCAGTAAAGCTGAACAGGAGAAACCAAACAGTTGTAATTTGTCTTCTATTGCTCTTACACATCTTGAGTGAAAATTGTCTAAAAGGATTAATTAAGTTAATCCAGGGGGAGAGAGGTTTAACTTGAGCTAGAAGCATATAGCTTGGAAGCAGTCACTTGCTTCAAGTGAAACCAACCCTGCCTCTAGTCTAAGCAAGGCGTTGGATACACAATGAGGTACTCCAAATAAGGATCTGAGGAATTTGGATTGAATTGCTTCTAGTTGACGGTGATCACTGTACAGACATGTCTGTGAATCATACATAAGCTGGGGTACTACCTTGCCCTGAAAGACTTTCAATACATATGGTATGTAAGAACCCCCTTTTGTAAAGGGGAATCTTACAGTTACTGGGGCTGCTCTTTGGGCAGATTCATTTACATGGGAAAGCTGAGCTGTCCATGAGCCAGGCAGTTGGAACACTACACCTAAATATCTGAACACTTTAACTTGTTTGATCTCATGGCCGTCAGTCTGCCACCTGTGTTTGATAAACCTTTTAGAGAAAACAAAATGTTTGGTCTTTAAAAGATTGATAGTTAAGTGCTCCTCTTTGCAGTAAGCTGTAAGTGCCTAGAGGGCTCTTCTGAGCCCTGCTTTGGAGTCAGATAGAATAACAGTATTCTCTGCATATAATGATCTAGTTCAAAATGTTAATTTGCTTAGCTTATAATGCTTGGTTGTTTCCATGAGAGCTATTTCATCCTTAGAACTGAAGATAAAATGAGGTACTTTACATAGACTTACAAGGCAATATTTAGGCTGCTTTTGTGGGCGCACGTGCAAAAGTACATTGTACAACAGAGAATCTTTATTATACAACTAAAGTTTTTAAAAAGAAAAAAAAGTGTTTATCTGCTGTTGGTTAACCTGTATCTTCAATGCCCAAGACACTAGCACTGTTGATGTTCTTGGGTGATCAAATATCCTGGCAACCATGGGCAAGTCTTTTGCTGGATGCTTCCTGAGCAATCTATCTCAAAGGTGCTGCTGTTCAGAAGTGGTCTTTGTATTCTCTGAAGACCTTTCTCCTACTTGACTACATACATTTGCATTAAAGACTAGGTTTTGGGGAGGAAAGTTCAGACTGATAAAACCAGAAGGGAAAGGTTTACAGAGAGTAGGTAAAAAGAGGTAGTAGTTTCAATCCAGTGGCTTGGAATTTATTGTCTTTTTTTACTTGTGGAAGACACTTCTGTCTGTGGAAGAAGAAAAGAATCATTTTTGGTGGTGTTGGTGTCCCCCTCCCATATCTTCTCTGCTTCATCTCCTATGCTCTTCCTGGGGATCCACATGGACATGATTTCATGGTGGGGGAACATAGCAGGGTGAAGTGGGAATGTTCTTTTGCATCTAGCACAAGTATGCTCACACTAGATGGGATCCACACTAGATGGGATCCTTTCACTGATGGCAGAACTTTCTGCCAATGCAAGAAGCTCTTTGGATCTTAGCAGAATTAAACTGCCAGATCCAACTCAGAGTCTAAAGAGCAGCTCATTTGTATTGAAGAGCTTTCCTGTGTCTGGTAATTCATGGATTACACAATTATACATGCTTGTTAATACCTTTAGAATTCCAACTAGCTTTGAACCAGTGTACCTAAAAGGCAATTTATCCCTATATGGCCCTGCCCATTTGTTGAGATCCTTTCTTGAGGCCCTGCTGTGCCCACTTAGTTATCAGAGGTGAGGTAGGCGATCACAGAAAAGCCTTTTCAGTTATGAGACCCCACTTGAGGCTTCAAGTTGCATGCCTCAAGTTGCATGCCTGGTGCACCGATAAAAATTGCTTGAAAGGTGAGGTAGAAATATTTAAAATGTAAGCTTTGTCATATGCATATGATAAAAAATCTGAATATTTTTATGGTAGAAGATTGTGTTCATTGAAGATATTGGTCTATCAGTGTATCTTCAAAAATTAGAAAATGGGATTTGTTGGCGTTATTTCTGTTGCCAGTATTTATTTGTAAGTTAACCATTAACTTTACTACACATTTGATTTTTTTTCAGGATAAAGAACGTTGTCTCCTAATATTTCTGTTTTTCCCATAAAGATATCATCTACCTGTAAGAATTGCTGCTCATCATGCAGTGAGTCCTAACTCAGTGGTGTTACCATTTTCTTGTGAACTCTGGTCCTTGAAACCTGTGTCGGACATGCTTAAAATGGCTTGGAATCTGTCTTGGTTTCACAGTATTGATAACATACTACAACTAATAAATTATGATTCAGGAAGCCATGAGTAAGCTATCATACCTTTACTATATTAAAACTCCTTCTTAAGTTTAGAGTCGACTTGTGCTAGGAATGAAGAATTTTAAAAGATAATCTAGTTGCAAGGAATGCTGTTCTTAGTTTGTGACGCTCTAATCTGTGACTTCAGATCTGTTTCTTCTGTTACTTGCTGTAATGAAAATCTTGCCCTTTTTAAAACCCCGGGATGGGTTCTGATTCAGGTCCACAGGAGGAGGTTTTTAGTCTCCTTATTTCAGTTCTCCAAAGTTCAAGCACTATCATGATGAGCTGCCTTAAGTAGAGAGATAAATTGAGCTTCCCCACTTGTGACGGGTCTTTGGATCCAAATGCTACATTTGTTGGTGTGAGAAGTCTTGCAAGCATCAGAGCAAGTCTCCACCATTAGTGGCATGGAAGGTTTGGATCTGATCCATAATCTGAACTTTCTCATTTTACTGACAGTTCTATCACATACAAAATAATGGTTGCATTCAGACATTATGATAAATCTTGGCTCACAGTGGGGTCTACAACAAATTCTGCTTACCAAATCTAAAGATGAAATCCCAATTTGTGCATAAACCTGAGGGTTTTTTTAATTCTTGTCCTCCTTACCTGCATAAAGAAGACAACCTTCCTGTAGTAGTGTTTCTGTGGCAAGGCCACTTCAAAAAATGTTGCTTTTGTGGCTTGTGAATTCTCAACAATCCATAATTGTACACTGTGGCTGAAACTGCTCAATAAGCTCTGATGTGAAATCCCAGTTTGTTGGACTATTTGCTTTCAGGCATTGTGAGTAACTGGGGCTTGATCAAACCACAGTTTACAAGCCATTGTAGTGATTTCATAATATAACCAGTGTCTTAATTTTGCTGAAAAGGAGGTAGAAGCCCAGGCTTGCCATTCCCACGGGGGGGGGGCAGGGGTTTGCCTGCTTTTAGGGCCCCTGATCCACTGGCCCGGATTCAACCAGTGGGGGGAACCCTGCCCCCAAAGTCCCGAGATCACGCCAATGTGCCCGGCATGATGACATCACCCAGATGTCATCACACCGGGTACATCGCCGGGGGGACACTCTAGCACTTGGCCAAAAAACTCTATGGTACTGCAGAGTTCTGGCCGAATGCTCGAACATCGCCCCGGTGATGTGCCTAGTGCAATTGACGTGCCTAGCGCAATGACATCACTTCCGGGTGATGTCATTGTGGCACACCAGAAGATCCTGGGGAGGAACCAGGAGTCCCCGACTGGCAGAAGGTAGGGACCTTACAACCCCCAGAAGATCCTGGGGAGGAACCAGGAGTTCCCCACTGGCAGAAGGTAGGGACCTTACAACCCTATAAGAAGTCAGTTACCTTATAAGTTTGTATCACACAGCATAGTAAATGCTGTTTAGTAGTTCTTGGAATAACTAGTGTGTGTAGCTTTACTGATACTTGCATTTCCCCTTTCATTTCCCTCCTTTTTATTTACTTACTTTCAGGAGGCTCATTTCCTACCCCGAGAACCATGGTAAACAGATCAATTAAAATTTTTGAAGCCAGAATTCTCTTATGGCCCTCATAGGAATAGCAGTAGTCGAAAGCCAGACTTTTAAAAGTCTCATGCTGCCCAAAATGTTTAAAGGAGTTGAGAGTCGTGTGGTAAAGACAGTAATAAAGGCATTAATTGCTTCACGAGTTCAGTCTCTCTCTTTTTTAAAAAAATCACCATGTAAATTTGCATTTTCTCTTTCATTACAGATTTCTAGACACATTAAAACTGTCTTCAGCGGATATCATGACACTGAAGATAACACACACAAGCAGTGGACTGCAAGATTGTCTTAATTCAATCATTCAAGCAGTGTCCCACAGGGAAGTTAGGACTGCTGTCACTAGGATGAATTTTTATGTTCTAAATGACAGGCTGGCATTAATGTGCAGCAGTGGTCCTTGTGGGGCCACTTTGAAGTCTTTGGCTTGGCAAACAGCATTAAGCAGGTCAGTGTGTAAGTGCAAGGTATGTAACTAGCTACAAAGCTGCTTGTCACAGTAGATTTGGCTTTGGAACTTTCAAAGGTATCTTTGGAGTCTTTCCAGGCACTTGCCACTAGAATAAACATCTTTAAAGTAGCAAACACTTTTCTGTTCCGCACGAGTATGAGAGAGGGAGAATTTACAAATTCATAAACTAGATGACGTCATTCTTGTTTGGTCTCTCTTCACCCCCCGCCCCAAATCTACCAAATACAACATTATCTAACAAGCTTTTCCCACCCACTCTCATTCGGCTGGGTCATCAATACTTACTTTTCTAACCATGCAACCCTATGAATTAAATTGGCATAGGATTGCCCTGAGATTGTGCTGTTTTGTACTGATCTCCTCTGCTTTGCTCCCCATCCCCTCTGAGTTAGGATGTCCATCATCACCAATCTGTGTTATTCCCCAAGGGAATTCTCAGTCTAATTATACTATTGCTAGAAGCCATGCCTTGTCATTCTGTGAATTTGCAGGAGGTATTTCATGGTGCGATCAAGCAAAATATGTAAATTCTACTCACTGCAAATTTTTGCTCGTCTCCCTTCTGCTGCTCAAATATCATATTACACTGATCTCTGGAAATGTCATAGCCTTGACTTACTCTGTTTTGAACTTGAGCTTTTGTGATTCTAATGTGAAAAATGCTAGCCCATCTCTATTAGCCTTAGCATTCTTTATATATTTAAAATAAATCATTACTATTCATTGCTCTTGATATTTCAAGCCTGTAAAGTAGAATAAAAATATGCAGTTCAGTTCCACACTGAAAATGATTGTTTATAATTGTTACAATTAATTGCGGTGTTTTATATTTGTGCTGCTTTTATGTGTTTTTAATTTTTTACATAAGCTGCCCTGAGCCTGCTTTGGCAGGGAGGGCGGGATATAAGTCAAACAAATGAATAAACAATAAATATACTAGTGAATGTATTTAATATTAACTTTATACCAAAGGTTTCTTCAGGTGCTTCCGACTTCTTCAGAAGATGAAAAACTCCTGGCTGATGTCTTATGTTTTCTAAACAAGTTACTAAAGGAGCAGCAAAATACTTTGGATGTTGAACACTTAAAGTGGATTATGGATGTAGCGCTGAAGCATGTAAGATCCCGATTGGCAGCTCTTTTTTTATATTGGCCTTCCCTTCAGATGAAGGGCCAGCAGCATTGGTTCAGCCTGCTGACTGACTTCTAAATAAACTGAAACATGATCAAGGGTGCTATAACTCCTAAGTATGAGAGACTTTAGTTAAGACCTTCAAGCACTTCATCTGTTTTATACCTTTCCCCACTGTTGTGGCTTATGCACAAGAATGAGCTTTCTTAGAAAGAATCAAAGAATTGGTCTATTTAACTCTACTATTGTCTGCTTTGATGGGCAGTCACTCTCCAAAGTCTCAGGCAAAGGTTTTCCCAAGCCCTGATGTTTGAAATCATTTTGATCAAACATGCCAGGGATTGTGCTTGGGGCCCTTCTGCTTGAGAGGCACTTGCTAGAATGTTCCTCTGGTGGTTGAGGAGAATAAACAAACCTTTCGCATGGGTCCCAGGTTGGTAGAAAGTGGCTGAATTGTATAACTGGAGGGGGGGGCGGTAGTGTATACTGGGAGCTGGATCGGCCTCCCATTTGTGTAACCCTAGAGAAAGTCATTCTCGGATATTTTGTTCTAGATTTTGGGTAGTGGAATTTTAATTCCATCTATGAAACTATTAACCTGACTGTGAAACTAGTGTCATTCTATCTGGCGTATAAATTACACAGCATTCTACAGGAGTTGGGGAGTAGTTTAGGGAACAATGTGGGGTGCAAAGCATGGGGCTTCAGCAAGGAAACAAGTCTCTTTCTCACTTCGCCAGACAAGTTCCTTAAATGGGGCAAACACACACAGGAGGGTATAATGGGGAAAAGCTTTCCCTTGCTGTAGGCCCCCTTGTCACATTCCATATTTTCAAGGGTCTTAGCTTTTCAGAGTGCACATGGTGGCACTAGGAGCGGCAAGTTGATAAAGTTTCCTTCTGTAAACTCACTGTATTGGCAAAAAGGGTTGGAATGGTTTGTATATACTTCATAAGGGAGAAAAAGTCTTTGGAAAGGCTAATTCTGTTTGTAAAGAAGTATTCTGTTAAGCTCTTTCAGATGATAAGTCATTTGGCCAACCTGCACCCTGCTAAGTACTTTTCATTACCTGTTCACTTGAACTTTGCAGATTGCTGAAAGTAGCTTATCCAAAAAGTATTGGATGATTCTGCAGTTCAGTCCAGTATGGGGGACTCAAAGCATAAGGGGGTTTATAATTTGCCATGGTACAATTTATGGACTACTATTCCAGTCATGGAGAACCAGCTATTAAGGTCTCAGTCCTTCTTTTGTGAAGATGTCTCACTATTTTTTTCCTACAGAATCCAGACTCTCTACTAGATCTGGTTGTGCAGCCAGAATCCCAGGCACAAGATGAAATGGATGACACAAAGAGTGCTGTCAGACGACAACTGCAGAAAGAATTGATTACTTTCTTTAATACACTTCTGCTCAGCTTCATATCAGTTACTGACAGGTACAGCATAAAAATGATGTCCATATAAGTCAGTTTACAGCAATACTGCAATTTGATTCTTCTAATATTGTTGCTAAATAATATAGACAGTTGGTTTAAAAAGTGAAGCGTACTACATGGAGTATGATTTCTGGCACATTCTTGGTTTTTCCAGAATCCTGTAAATCTCTGCTTTTGTTCTACTAACTGGAAAGTAACTAGCCTGTGTTGTGAAAAACAATTTTAGCCAAGTGGACAGCATCTGCCAAGGTTCAAAATTCAGAATGGGGACTACATGAGATGGCAAGGATCACTTTGAGGGGTTTTTTTATGTGCATCAAACTTATCCAAGGGATTTTACCCTTTTTTCCAAGTTTGTACCAGGAAATTCTTGAGACCTTGAGAAATTCTTTTCACATTGACTCACCCATCATTACCAGGGAATCCCTGCACATCTTACACAGGATCTATGTTTGGAACTCAGTTCACATGAGGCACTAGGTAGACCTGTTGGACATCACTGTTGCCCTGAAATGAATATGACTTGGAACACACTCGGCACTTCCCAGCAGCTTCATGTTCCTGGGAAGATTTATAGTGATGGGCAGTTATCCTTTTGTCAGCTATTAATGATTTTTTTCCCAATGAAATATTGCTTATAGGAACTCTGTAGTTTCCTGAGAAACTTTTGACAACTATTGGTCTGAATAGATGATGCAATGGCAAGAAGTGTTAAAAAATTAATAATGGCTTCTGTTAAATCAGCATGGCTGTGGTCCATTGTATAACTTAAGTTTCATCATTTTGGTTTCTTTGCAGCCCCACATTGGGACTGTGTGTGTGCAGGCCAGTCACAGAAAAGATTTCTAGCAGGCTAAGAGTGCCCCTCCTCCCTCTGGAGGTTTCCGCCGAAATGATCACATGAACAGGAGGCACTACTCCTTCAGTTCTCTTCATGCCACAGCTGGAGACCCCAAGAAACTAAGGTTCCAGAGAGTTCCCAGTGGGGCAGGAGGGAAGGATGTTTGCTTGCCCAGAAGACCACTCGATGAACAACAGTTACAAGTAAGTACAGCCCTGGTTGGACTGTACTTACAACCATCCTAGTTGGACGTAAGATTGAGCATTAGGGTCCATGTTCACCAGTGTTTGAAGGCAGTAGTGTCCTATCACTGTGTACATCTTGTGATGCTCTTTTTAACAGTGTTGTCTGCATATCTTTCGTATCTTCAGTTCCCATCCTTTTCGTACAAACTCAGCTCTCTGCTATGCAGCCCATAAATCTAGCTAGTGAAAAGACCAAACTGTATCCCATTTCTCTCTTGCCCCCTCTCCCTAGCTTTTAGTGCTGTCTTAAAATGGATATTGTCACCCACAAATTGGTATAGTAATTATTACTCAGTATAATAATTAGTGGTGGTGCACTCAGTTTATACCAAGCCAAATAAATACCCCACAAATACCTTATTGGTATTTTTCAGGTATTTATTCAGACGAGTCAGATTTTAGAATCTGATTTCGCTACTGATTATTCATTTAAATTTACTTGCGTAGGGCTTGGCTTTGCAAAAATTATTTAAAGGGAACTTTCCCTTTAAATGGTTTTTGCAAGCTGCGCAGTGAGAGAGTGAACCTGGAAGTGGCATGAGTTCACCCACCCCCTTCTCCATTATACCCTATGGGACATCCCCATAGGGTGTAATGGAGTGAATATATTTGATAATCCCGGTTATTTCTTGAATCCCAATATTGGTATAAATCGGGTATATCAGGAAATACTGATATTTTTCAAGTTCTATTTACCCGAACCCAAAAAATGTTAATTTTTGCACACCCCTAATTATTACTATGCTACTTTAGATGTGATGACACTGCAGAGAAGAGCAGTCTGAATCAATCCCCTTATTACTCTTTATTTTCTCCTCAAATTGTCTTTTAATATGATGTCTGTATCTGAACAGGTAACAGTGTTTGCAGCAAAATTGTATAGCTGCCACTACACTATAATCCCTAATAAATTTATCCTCCTCCTTTCCTTCTTATGCATCAGGTTTGAATAGCAACTGTGATATTTTCAGAAAAAATTATCTTTGCCAATCTTGTATTTTCTGTAGGAAAGAGCTAGAACTTGCTGGCTATGTCCGAACAGAACTGGCCTTGAAACTTATGCAGTATTTACGCATAACAGATGCTCCTCACTTCTATGGATTGCCCTCTTTGGAAAGGACTCTAAGAGGAATGGTTCATGTCACTGCTGTTCCAGGCTGGAGTTCCTACTCAGTTACAATGGAGCCATTTGCAATTTGTAAGAAATACTTAGCCGGGCTTCTTGAGGTAAGTATACTATGAATCTTGATTTTAATGGGATTAGAAAGCAAAATACTATGTATTGCTTCTGTGGTTTTACTCAGTAAAAGACGTTTCATGCTGTAGTACTTTTTTTTTTGACGTATCAGCCAATGAATATCTTCATCATTAAGCTTTTTTCCTGATAAATGTTACTTCTGAGGAATGAAATGTATATCTCTGATATGGGGGGAAACAAATTTTGCAGGGTAGAGAATCAACATGGATGATGGAAGCAGGGAACTGTAAGAAAATATGAGCAATTACTACCAGCAAAGGGAACTTGAAGGAGAAAAGACCATATGTAGTGAGGAATAGATGGGCTTAGCATTTCACAAGAGATGTTACAAGTCCAGTGACCCAAGTTAGCTTGTAGATGGGAGCAGGAAAGAGATGTCAGAAGAACGGAAAGAGGGAATGCTGGACAGTGGATGGATACTATTTAAACCAAGTGGGTTGAGACAAAAGCTGCATGTAAGCTTAGAGACAAAGCTGAAGGAATGTATGCTATTAGCCAAAAGACAGATTCCTGAGGTACTGTTTTAATATCATATACCATTTTCTTTGCCATTACCTATCATAGACAACTGTTTTCTATATCACAACATTTTCAGCTGAAGAGAAGTTCTTGGGTTTGTTTCTTTAATTTAAAACATAAGCCTGCCTTTCTCCCAGGTAACTGGGGCCCACAGTGGTAAGAGATTGAAAACATCACAACATTAAAATATTAAAATTGTCAGCAGAAATCTCTGCTTAACCAACACTTGTCTTCAGAAGAATGACAACATATGACAATGGAAACTGTGTATGTTCAACACCCTCCAGGAAAAAAAATAATCTTAGTTTTGTAATATACATACAGCTCTGTCAGGCATAAACATAGTGAAGCAGTATGCAAGGCAGGTCATGATACTATCACTAGCTCATGAAGAATGCACTGTGCATTTTTAGTGGAGGAATATTGTATTTGGGTTCTCCATCTATAATATACTGTTATTGAGCAGGCACTTTCCCACAAGAAACTGAAGACTATTTTTATGATAAGAAAATCAGACAAAATTGCATCACATACATTCACATACACCACGATGTAACATATTCTTTCAGCTGTGTTTAAATGTCCTTTTTCTGTGGCTGGCCTTTTCAGTACAAACATTTTATGTAGTAGTCAATTCAGTACAAACATTTTATGTAGTAGTTAATGTTGTCATCTCTAGAATATTTAAACACAGAACAACAAAGGGAGCTTCCTCCACATATGCAGTTTCTGTCCACAGCTATATTCCTCTCCTTTGGGTTGCAACTGAATGAGTGTAGGCTAAGCTGAGAAAAACCTGGGGAACTACTAAAGCAGAAGAAGTAGGGAAGATATCAAAATGGACCTTTTTAGGTATAATGCAAAGCTATGGTTTATTTAAACTATGTTGCACTGTGAGACTAGAATTTTACTTGCAAACTATCTCTGAAATGCTGGTGTACTTCAGCAAATGCCGCTTTCATTTCCTTTGGTCTTGCCAGGTTTACCCACAGTGTGAAGCATGTATAAGGGCAGCACTGGGGAGCAAGATATGATTAAGTTAGGATGCCTATGTTTTTATGTCACATGGAACCATAATTAAGACTAACTGTAATTAACAAGCCTCAGAACTTGTTTTAATTAATCATAGTTAGTGGGTTAGTGGAGAGGCTCACATTCAGACAATTGCAGTATCCCTAGTTTAATTGAGCCCTAATTTTGTGTTGTGAGCCACAGTGGTAAATATGAGCCATGTGAGGCAAGAACAAGATTTAGATCTGACTTATGAACCAGCCTGTGAAAATCATTTGGGAAAGAACATATGAAATGAAGAACTTTGCACTTGTGGGAGTCACCTGCTCTTTCATCTCCCTTATATATAAAAGCCGAATGGTGGTGGCACTTCTCTAGAACATTCCACACGCTCCAGAATTGGTTGGTGCCCTGTTGTGTCACTCAGAATCTGTCCCTATCCACTGGCTGCATTGCTTGAGTCTCTCCTCCAACATTCTAAACAGTTTGCTTTTCCTCTCTCCCCCCCCCCATAGCCAGTCAGAACACAGAGGTTATTTGCATATGCAGCCTCATTGGCCTTGGCCGGAACACAGAGGTCATTTGCATGAGGGATGGAGCCTGGAGAGGGTGAGGTTTCAGGAGGCATGGGACCTCGGACAGGTACAAAGCCATAGACTCCACCCTCCAAACCAACTATTCCCTTCTGGGGAACCATCGTTGCCAATCTCCAGGGGAGGGCTGGAGATCACTCAAAATTACAACTGTTCTTTAGGTAGCAGAGATCAGTTCCTCTGGAGAAAATGGTGGACTCAGTGTCATTAAACCATGCTGAGGTCGCCACAGCAAATTGACACTGCGTGTCCAAGGCCGGGGCACCCTCCCAGAGCCTCTTTCTAGAGCTCGTTGTCTTTATTTCCACAACGAGCCTTTTTCCTAGTTTGTATATAAAACCCTTTTAATCTATTAGTAGCAAAGTTGTCTTGAAGTTGATTGTGTTCTTTTTTCCTCTCAGGTCATCTCTTCTTTTTATGTTGAATGGAGAGGAAATGCCATGTCCTTCATGGGAAAAGGTGTCACTAAGTGTACTATTATTTGTTTGCTTCACTTGACCCACGAAATGATGATTCAAGCTCCAAATGTGGTAAGAGCCTTAAATGTAGTCACTGTTATCGGGCTTGCTAAACCTATGAGGCACACAGTTGCTGACAAGTTTTTATTGGCCTCTCTGGAAAACTTTGCCTTACTCAAGTCAGGTCAACAGAGAAGAGCAGACACTTTGATGGATTTCCCATTACCTTTATAAACTGCATGGTTTCCGTCATTGGCCCATCATGGAGGAAACTGGTACAGGGACAGCTGTTTCACACAGCATTTACCTTCCGGAAAGGAGCCATCTCTGAAGCGCTGTGGCCATTTCAAACTGTGCAGCTTTCTTTTCCCACCATTTCCCCCCACGCACACAATCTCCCTGAGAGGGTTTTAAAAAAAAAATTTAAACGTACTATTAGGAGCACTGTGGTGCTGATTTGACGTGCTGTTTCAACATCATAGCATTTCCAATAGAACATTAAAAAAAAAGAGGAAAGATGGTGCGCCGGGGGAAAAGGGCACAAAAAACCCATCACTGGAGGAAGCGCTATATTTTATAAGACTGCTATTTGATTGAGGATCTAGTTTCTTACAAATGTAAATGGTTTTCTTTGCAGGACTGGGTATCTCTCTGGTTCTTGCCATGTGACAACAGTGAAGAACAATTTACTTCTCCGCAAGGCCTAGCTTGGCTGATTCCTTTATGGGTGGATAGAGATCCAGAGGTTAGTAAAATTCTCTCTTTAGAATTGTTTCTTTGTACTTACTCTGCAAGTGTGATGTTGTGTGTCAGACTTGCAAAGTTTTAAAGGTGAGAGAGGTTCTCTTAATAGCTATATACTGTTTTTGTTTTGTTCTTTGTCTTTCATACTTGTGAGATATGGTACATTTTAGTTTTAAAAAGCCTGAATTAATAATCTGTGTATGCTAAATTATCTTGCTTAGATATGTATTTTTGAATATTCAGTTCAAAAATAGGGAATGACATTTATCACCTGCCAGAATGAGTAACATGGATGTCACATGATCCATTAATCAAACAGTTTGTTCACTGCCTTCTTCTATCATTCTAGTCTTGCTTCAGTTTAAACTAAGGAGGTTCATTGATTTGTATTCTGAATAACTTCTGAATAAAGGAGCCTTTTTGATTACTAAACTTGGACAGAGCATGAACAACATAAGATGCAGGCACAAATAGGCTTCTACAAAAGTGGTCACTGGTGTGAATCATCATTTTTTTTTCCTGCTGACAGCTATCCCTAGATGCCAATCATAGCATCTATCCCTAGATGTCAATCATTCTACTTGTCTTTGAAGACATAGTTTTGGAGATGATCAGAAAGGGCAAGAGGTTGACACCTGTCATCCCTTCAGTCTTCCTATAGGACTTGGGAGAAGCTTACATCTGGTACTAACCCTCAGTCAGGGCTGAAACCAAGAACAGGCACAAATTGTGAAACTTATAAGGTCTTCTTTCTGCTTCAGGACAATTGTTTTTAGGATTATTAAGGTTGCTTCTTTATTGATGTATTCATTCATGAAGGTAGATTAATTACTACATATATGTAAAAAATCTCACTTTGGATTTTGGAATCTCTGCTCTGCATTTTAATTGTTTCCGGCACTTTCAAAAATGGATACTGATTGTTTATGGATGTTTTTATATATGTTTTTAATTGTATTTATATATGCATTTTATTATGCCGCCCTGAGTCCGCCTTGGCAAGAAGGGCGGGGTATAAATCGAACTAATAAATAAATAAAATTAATGCACATTAGTATTCAGAGAGGCCGTTTAAGTGGGCTTATGTCATGTTCCTGTATCAATGTAAGTAGTACAGTTTGTAACATTTCTATGCCAAGCTCAAATGTACATGATACACACAGTGTAACAGTACCAGTTTAAGTCCTGGTAAATACAATTACATTTACATTGTTCTGTTTTTCTCTTGTATACTTATGTCTGTCAATAGCAGATTCACATCTTACATCTGATGAAAGCCTGTGCTACAGTAAATCTGCTAGTCTTTAAGGTGGTGCAAGGTTCTTTTGGGTTTTACTGAAAAGATTCACCACTGAACACCTGTAGTCCTGATGCATCTTAGTATTTTCCCATATTTCAATGTTTTGTGCTTTCATGCCAATAAAGGTTTTGTGTGTGTGTGTGTGTGTGTGTGTGTGTGTGTGTGAGTGAATACCTGTAGTCTGCTGCTTCTGCCTCCAGTTGTCTCTGGGAAGAGACTGGGACAGTATTTTCAGATATAGAGACAATCCTGAATGCCTTTCCTATGGGAGGGGTAGTTTCACTTTTGCTTTTCTCTGACCACCCCATTCACAGACTTCTAGTCATGATCTTCTGATGGATCTGTGGAAAATGGCAATTTTGTTTTGCAAACATTAGTTTTGATAATTTCTCAACAAATTAAAGCATGTATAGATGTTTGGAACAAGCCAAACTCCACTCATTGCTTCATTTCCTATTCCTAAGACATTATATTGTATCCTCTAGTTGCCTTTAAATTGTTAAAGATATTCTATTCCTTTGCTCAATCACCAAACAAAAGGGGAACTGTAACGAAGAAATCAGAAGAGGTTTGCGACTGGGAAAGGCAGCTATAAAGGAGCTAGGGAAGATTCTTAAGTGTAAGGATTATTGGCGACCAAGATCAAGATAATAGTATTCCCCATTACTATGTATGGGTGTGAAACTTGGACAATGAAGAAAGCTGATGGGAAGAAAGTTGATTGGTTTGAAATGCAATGTTGGGGGAGAGTTTTCCGGATACCATGGACTGCCGAAAAGATAAATAAGTGTGTTTTGGATAAAAACGAAGCCTTAACTGTCCTTGGAAGTTTAAATTACCAATCCTGAACTAGCTCTAGAAGTTTAAATGACCAAACTGAAGCTATCATACTGTGGTGATATTTTGAAAAGACAAAGCTCACTGGAATGATGCTAGGAAAAGTTGAAGAGCAGGAAAAGAGGAAGACCCGACATGAGATGGATTGACTCAATCAGAGAAGCCACAGCCTTCAGTTTACAAGACCTGAGCAAGGCTCTTAATGGTAGGACATTTTTGAGGTCAATAATTCATACGGTCACCATATGTCACAAGCGACTTGACAGCTCTCAATACACACAGAGTTGATTTCTTGGCTGACTTCTGGTCTGAGCGGGATTGAAGTTGGAAGAGACCAGTGTAAATATACCTAATTTCTGTTTAACAGTGAAGCCTGTGAGAAGAAAAGTGGAGGAGGTGGTGGTGATGGGAAAATCTGCAAATGCATATGAAAGTATTTATGCAATTTTTTTTGCCTCCCTAGCTGATATGACCAACAAGTATAAGGGGAGGAAGTTTTACCAGTAGAATCTTGAAGGCACTAAAGTGGGGGGGGGGGTGTTACACATACTACTTGAAAAGTATAGTTGTTCATCAGGCTGTTGGCTTCAGCTTTAGATATAACCATAGAGAAGTCTTCCAAAGCTGCCCAGATAGGCAGGTTCTAGAGGGAGGAAGAGACAGGAGCAACAATCAGAAGGCCTGCTCTGCCTGCTTAGAGTATCACTCCTGTTTAATGGACTGACCATGCATTTAGCTTCCACCCTTGTGGCAAGTGAAGCATAGCTGAGCAGCTGGTACTGAAAGGATCAAGGGAGAAGAGTGAAAGGTGTTGATGATAAGACTCGTGAGAGTTAGGTGAGCACAGAGAAGGATGCAGTCTAAAAACTGTGCTAAAGCTAGAAGGGATAGTTCCATTCCTTTCTGTCCTCTGCTAAGTGTTTCTTCTGCTTGAGTACAACCGTGCTAAGTGTATCCTGCCTTGCCTCATGTTAAGACTTTCTTTGGGCATGGTGCCATGTCAAGCAGGTGAAATTAGTTTGCTGTTTTCAACTTGCAGCAGAAAGAAAGCACTAAAACTCCACAACCAGGATATACACATGATTGCACTAGGTCTGGGCTCATTTTAATGATGCCAAAGGGAACTGGATGAATAAGTATCTTGATGAATATGAGCTGGATGTCCACCACAGCTGTAGTTCGACATCTGTGGATGTTCATGAGTGACGTCCGCATTTTGTTAATTGCATGCAACTGATGGTTAAATTACAAATTTGATATAGCCCTCTGGTTTGTGATAGGTTTTCATCAGACTGTTGGTGCTGAACAAATTGCTCACCTCTGGAGAATTGCAGTGATGAGTAACAGAAGCTAAAAACTGTGTATTTTGGGTCTTGAAACCGTCTGTCCTCTGGAACAAGATCAGCATGGGGGGAAGGGAGAGAGAGAGCAGCAGCAGGAAGAAAGAACTATTATCCCTGCAACAGTAATTCTCTCTTTTTTTAGTGAAGAGGAGGTAAAGGGGGGGCTGTTCTAACAGCACCTTGCCTACTCATAAGCTGAGATGACAGTTGGAAGAACAGCTGCTGTAACAGGCTCTTCCTCTCAACAAAGATCAATATGAGAAACATGACCTTCAAAACAAAAGCCTGGTTCACCTTTTATTGCAGTGTTTACATTAGATGTTCTTGGAAACAGAATCTTGCATATTTTGTTATGGTACAAGCCAGCCCTTTGTAGTAGACGTCAAGATCATTGTTCATTTAATGGCTCCTTGTTCATTCTTTCAAAAGAGGGAACCATCCCCCATATGTGGGAATACAAAGCTCTTCCAAAAAGAAGCCAGTTCTTTTGCATTTGTTTCTTTGCAAATACAGTGGTTTCTCTTTTCTTTTAATTGAATTCTCAAAAGACACATCTTTTGAACTGGTAAACCATCTGAGAAGTTGCTTGGAAAGTCCTGTTTCTAGTGTTAGACATATACAAGGATTTTCAGAATCAAGTAGCTTTGTGAAATAGCATATTCTAATTAGAGTAAATGTATTTGTTAATTTATTCTAGGTAAAGTTCACCTCACTTGCGATAGGATCAGCACTCACATCCCTTGAAGCTGGATGTCTTGCTCTGGCTGAAAGCTGTCAGAATATTTCAGGAGGCTTATGGGGAACTGTAATCAACATCCTTCTGGACCAGTCTGAGTGTAGCATGGTCCGAAGAGAGGTATGGAAATCGCTCTGCCCTCTGTATAGATGTTGCCTTTTGATTGTGTTCTCAGAAAGGCCAACGGAAATTAGATTTAGATGTTCTCTTATCAAGTGTTTTCTAAACAACTCTATAATGATGGTTTTTGATAATGATGATATTGAAGCATCTTCAGGGAAGGAGGCTTAATATGTTTATAAATCACATAGAATCTATGAATTGTTCTTCCCTGCCTTCAAAATATTACAGATTATGGACAAGACACGGAGGGGGGGAGTTGTAAATAGCAAAAAATGCATGTATATTTTTCTGTCGTCCACCTTGAATACTTTTACAGAAAGATCGCTAGTAATATTTTAATAAGTCTAGGTGAAATTTGGGGTAACTTAATACAATAAAAGCTTTGCCATCAAGTATTTAATTATCCAGAACACTAAGTTAACTTCCTCCATCTCAGCCACCATATCCTCTAGAAGTGTTTGGATTACATCAGGGTTCAACATGGTAGAAAAGCCTGCTATCTTTTGTCATCTTTGAGGCAGTGATTGGGAGGAGTGTGTTTTTTGATAACACATTCACTGTTTTGTGTGATTTTAAATACACGTTTTGGAAAGAAATATTCAGGGCCACTTGTGTTCATTATTCTATACATACATGAAGGAACTCCATTTCTGTGCGCTGTACATAAAAAGGTCAGGCATGATGAAAAGGGAAGTTGTGTATAGCAAAACAGCTATTTAGAGACTTGCATGAAGTATCAGTAACTGAAGAAATTACTGCTAAAAGGAAGTTCAAGTGACACACCTGTCTATTATCAGTGTAATGGATTTTATCTGCTATTCTTTTGTTCTGAGTGGAAATGTCTTCTCAGAATAAAATGGTTATTCTTTAAAAAAAATTCTCTTTATAGTGTTTTCATATCTTTGCATTAAAAATATAGTCCACTGAACAATCAAAGTGAAAATATTATCTTGGTTTTGAAAGCTGAAGGATGATTGCTCTTGTGTATATTTGAAGCTGGCTGTGTTGCTTTGGTCAGTTGCAGCCAGGTGGCACTGTTGATGTTTGCTTTGTCTTTATAGGCTGCATTTATTCTTCAGAATCTATTGGTGATCCCACTACCCACTGAAGAGGTTAAGGACTCCATTTGGCAGGTGACAGTCTATGTATTCACATATTGCTTTTTCTGTAAACATAAAGAGACATATCAGTTGGAATAGCATCAAAATGATATAAAAAGAATAGGGTAAATAAATATACAGCTAGAGAACAACTGGAAAACAAGATCCAGTTGCCCAGCTGTTATCTAATATCCCTTCTAGGTTGGCATTGTTAACCAATTTGATTATGTCCAGCATTTTCAAAGGAAAAATGGGCACAGCTACTCTAACTGTGCAAAAACAGGATAAGGATCTGCATATTTTCAATAAAATTCAGGGCAGGAAAATAAGTCTAATACGCCGCAGTTAAATATACTGGACCAAACTACACAGTGCCTCAGTTACTACCCTTAGAAAGTGAACTTTCAGATGCCCTAAGATAGCACACCAAGCATGTAATTAGGGATTTGGGATCCTAGTTTTAGTGTTGAGTGGGTGTAGATAGATCTTATACTTGTGCAGATTAACTGCAAAGCATCCAAAGAACTGGAATTCATGTTGCAAGGCAAAACAATAGCAACCTGGATAACTTAAACTGCCTATTAGAATTTAGTGTTTTTTTAAAAATAATATCTTATTGCTTGTGAAAATGTTTAATGGCTTGTTAAACGTTTTCTGGAGGTTTTCAGAAAGAGTGCATGTTTCAACAGTGATCTTAACCATTACAATAAATGTTAATGGGTTGAATCCAAAGATTTCTGAGTTGGATCCCACAGATCTGTTCCACTGTGTAGCATTTTAGCCATTTTTAAAGGAGAATTTAATCAAAGCAAAGTATTTAAATTGTGATAGCACATAACAGAGATATACCTTCTTTGGGAGCCCATAGAATTGGACCCCAAGGTCCAATCTTTTTTTAAACTTGGGGGGTCTTTTGAGGAGAGGTGCCAGAAGCTACGCTGAGATTTTGGTGCCTCTACCTCAAAAAATACCCCCCCCCCAAACCACTGGGTACCCCCAGATTGATTTCCCATTGACTACAATTTGGGATTTCTGAAAAAAAACCCAAATACCATATCGGAATTCAGGGTTTTTTGGGAATCCTGAATTTTTTTGGGTCCAATATATCCAAATTTTAAAAAAATCCTGATTATTATTTGTGTGTGTGTGTGTGTATGCACACCCCTTCACCTGAATCTATCTTCATAGAAGTCACCACAGTAAGCAGCATGGAATGGAACTTCATCAACCCATAGTGACTGTGTTGCTTGTAAAGCTCACACTGCAGGTTGTGAAGTACTTCAAACTTCGCTATTTTGCATATTTTTTGCTTCAGTTTTTGAAGGCAGGAAATGAAATATATAGTGCTCTGCAGCTCTATCGCTGAGTTCCAGAAGACTTATTTAGAAAAAAATTTCAAGATTCATGCACAGCCATAAGGACTAGAAATTTTGGTGTGTGTGTGTGTGTGTGTGTGTATGCACACCCCTTCCCCTGAATCTGTCTTCATAGAAGGCACCACAGTAAGCAGCATGGAATGGAACGTCATCAACCCATAGTGACTGTGTTGCTTTTAAAGCTCACACTGCAGGTTGTGAAGTACTTCAAACTTTGCTATTTTGCATATTTTTTGCTTCAGTTTTTGAAGGCAGGAAATGAGATATATAGTGCTCTGCAGCTCTATCGCTGACTTCCAGAAGACTTATTTAGAAAAAATTTTCAAGATTCATGCGCAGCCATAAGGACTAGAAAGCTTTCTTTTCAAAATGATAGCTGAAATACTTGGGAAGCTGCCCTCTATGGACAGTATTTCTTTTTTCTGAGAGGTTCATGGTATCCATTGCGCATAGAAACGCTACTGGACTCTAAATAGAGAATAAGTGCTGTAAAAGAAAGATTTTGATAGCTTTTACCCGCTCCCCCCAGGGACCTTGTGTGCATGATGAAGAATCTGGTTTATCTCTGACTGGAAAACCTGCCCTGCAGGCCCTGTTATATCATTACCACTTTTACGAGCATTTGAATGAGATGGTGAGACAGTGCTACCTAGGTCGATATACATTTGACCTGAACTGTTCCTTGGGAGACAACCTGGCAGCAGAAAAAAATAGTTTAAGTGGTAAGTAGCATCTTTTCAACCTTGAATTTCAGTAGTTCTTCCTGGTTTCCCCTGTGTAGCTCCTGCTTGTGACTGCTGTTTTCAACTTACTGTTAAACACAAAGGTAATACATTTTTAACATGGGCAATCCCATGAATAAAAAACGTATTGCATTTGGTTTAGTTTCCAAGAAGCAATTCCAAATTTTACTGTGTTTGTAGTTGGAGGTGGAAGCATATTAGAAAACCTGTTCCATCTTTGTTGAAGTGTGATAATGGGATGTAAAGAAAATTATAGAATTTCCAAATGGATGAATATGTAGTAAAAATGAAAGACCTAGAAAAAGGTAGTACATGGGGTAATTATGTAAGCACTTCCATTTCTCTGTTTGGTGGGTTTGTCTTAGTGATGTGCTGCAAGGAATTCCACACAGGAAGTGCAAACTGTTGTTTCTTGAACATATCTTAAGGAACACAGACCATGAGTACTACACATCACTTTTTAAAACTAGTACACCTAAAAATGTTAATTATGTATGCAACAAATTGGTCTTCGAATCCATGCCTCCCAGAGGTATGCTCAGAACTGGCACTGGCTGTAGCCTCCTACTGGTGGCAAACCTCTGAGGTGACCATGACTGCCTTATGGCTTTGCTTGTTCTACCAAGCTTTCCCTCTAGCTTCAAAAACCATCGTGTATATTTGTCTGATGTCTGAAAAGAAATAGTGAATGCATTGGAAGTTCTGAACTGGTATTTGGGAGCAGTGATGGCTTGAATGGAGACAAACAAGCTGCAGCTTAATGTAGACAAGATGGAAGAACTAAGGATCGGAAACTTGACTGATCTTCAGGTAGCTATCAGCTTCAGGGTTTCGCTACACAAAACAACACAGAGGAAAGGACTTGCATTTCCAATCTCAGATCAGTTACCAACATTAGCCACGCAAGAGATACGGAAGACAAGCGGAGTTTCCGGTCGCGATCTCACCAGCACATCTGGGAAGCGTAGCGCTTCCGTGGCACAACTGAGGCTTCCTGTCGAAAAAGCGCAGCAAAAAACTAGTACCTTGGAGGTACTAGTTTCCAGAAACTGCGGGGCAAGGGCGGGCGTCTGATCGCGTTTCCGGTGGTATCCGGCGCCCGCCCATGTCCCCTTGCGGAAAAGGGTTTTTTCCCCCCACGTCTCCGTGGATGCGCACACGCACCCAACGGAGCATGCGCATTCGTAGTGTACACAAAAAAAGAAAACCAGTTCGCCGCGCCGCGCGCTTCTTCATTGCGCGCAGGCGTGTGTTGTGATCGGCACCTCTCCCTTGCCATGGAACCTCCACAGTACCTCCACAGAACCTCCACAGTAGGTCTGATCGCTTTACTGCATGTTAGTTTGCCCCGGGGCAAACAGCCACACTTCTCCTCTGCAGTTTCCTGCCAGTGTGACAGGGGCCATAGATCAGTTAAATTTCACAGTGGTGTAAGTGAGCATTCAAAAGTTACGTCATTCTGCTTAAGGATATTGATCAATGGACGTTTTCAGAATCTTCTGACCGATACAGTTTTTCAAAATTATTCTTTCTACAATTATAAAGTCAGTCTGTCATGTATCATAATTTATTCTTATTAACCCCAATTGAAAAGTAGTATAATTTTTTTTACAAAATGTGTTGTCATTCATCATTAAAAATGCAAGGGATTCTTGTTGTCCTTGCAGTTCTATTATGACAGGGGGAAAATGCTGCTTAAAATATATTCAACTTTATTTTCTGTATGAAATCTTCCTTTCTGTTATAATGAAACTGTAAATTCAGTTCAGTTGGAGAAAAGCACTTAACACATGCCTTCAGGGAAATCTTGCCAGTTTTTTTTCTTTGCCTGTCTACTACCCTTTCTTCTGGAACCTGATTCCAGAGGGCTGAATTGTGGGGAGTCTCCCTTGTGCAACAGGATCTGGGGATCCAAGAAATAGATGTTCTTAGATGTTCAGTAGGGGAAAAAACAAGTGACAATCAATATTTGGTGAGCTGAAGTGTACACAAGGCCTCTGAGAGGGGAAGCCAGCAGGGCCATTTAGCCCGGGCCTCACATTCTTGGGGGGCCTCAGATTTACACTTTTGACATTAAATCACGTTAAATAAAAATGGGAACATTTATTTCAGTGTCTCACAATATTCTACTAATTTTGTATCATTGTTTTCAAACGTCATCATTTTTTAATTTACTGGGGGAGGCCTCAAAAAATAGAAGTGGCCCAGGCCTCTCTTGACCTCTGTGAGGGCCTGAGTGTATACCTAATCCAGAATAGTCATAAAATGCAGGATTCTGAGAAAGTCTCTGCTTCTGTAAAGCCTGTTTATAGTCCTCATAATTGCAATGCTATGTTTAAATGAGTGTGGAACTGTTCAGGATGGCTTTGAATAATCCAGAATGGAGATGCTTTGTCTGGAATGTAGTGGTTCAAAATGCCATACTAGGAGTTGGAATACCAAGTTTTGAATCCCCACTCATGCTGTGGAAACTCGCTGGGTGACCTTGGGCCAGTAACACTCTCTTGGCCTAACCTACCTCACAGGGTTGTTGTGGGGGTAAAATGGAGGCAAGGAGAACAGTAAACTGCTTTGGGTCCCCATTATGGTCTCAGTTTGCTTCATTCTGGTACAAACAGTGGCATATATAATCTTCATTGCCGTTACCTTCATTCAGGTGTAGTATATTTAGCAATTATTTTCCCATATCATTCAAGATGTATACATATGGGAGAAAAAAGTCTGTTAAAGCAAAAGAATAGCGTGTCATCTTAAAATCCAGGAGACTTATTGAAGCATTAGGAATAAGGCACACAGTACACAATTTACATTATTTATTTTGTTATTTGCTATTTTCACTTTTGCTGCCTACTTTCAGCCTGGAGGTTGGGGGGGGGGGGCTATAGGACCATATGTTAATCATTTCTATTGTTTGATCACTTTTATTGATTCAAAGAAGGGAAGAGTGGTAATACATAAGCAACCTGGGTTGTTGAATACACTAACATTTCCCTCTCTTCTCCAGATTTTGATGACTCCATTAGCTCTTGGAGGCACCTATCTAATCAAAGCCGGTCTCCAAGTTCTCAGTCAACATCTGAGACTATGGTGAGTTCAAAGGTAGTGGTGGTGGTGGTGGAAAGTGCCATCAAGTCGCAGCTGACTTATGGTGATCTTGTGGGGTTTTCAAGGCAAGAGACAAACAGAGGGGCTTTGCCACTGCCTGCCTCGGCATCATGACCCTGGGCTTCCTTGGTAGTTTCCCATCCAAGTACAAACTAGGGCTAACCCTACTTATCTTCTGAAATTTGACACATAGTCAAAGTAGTGCAAATTATTTAATTGGCTGTTCCAAGGAACTAGATTCCTTTTTGTTCTACCTAGTGAATGATCTCTTACTCCCTGTATTTCCTTGAGGGGTCAGATTATTTTTTTTAATTCAGAAGCTAGAAAACTGTTGGTTTTCATCCAGGAGCGTTAACTGATATTGCTGGGCATGTAATCTTCAAGGCATTCAATAATTTCCTTCTTGAAAGATTTATGAAAGTGTTGTTGTTTTTTTACTGAAAAGCTAGTAAACTCTTAAAATCAGCTTCAGTGTGATAGTGTATGTCATAGTTCTAAATAAGTCCAGAAAAGTTACTGTCTTTTCTGTTTGTTCATTAATGTAAGTATAAGTTATATGGGCTCATCAGCAGCTGAAAAACAAAAGGAAACCCGTTCTCATCCTGTTTTACTAAAGGTTTCCCAGCATGCTCACCAGGCCTGTAGCCAGGACTTTGTGCCCTGTGGAGCAATTTTTTTTCTGGTGGGGCTAAAGTTCTGAATTAATAGGAAAACCTGTTTTTTCTGCCTTAAGCAAATATGACTCTTTCACCATCACCAGTCCACCTGTCAATTATGACACTATCAATTTTGCTTCTTCCTCTGAGTTTCCCCCCTCTATGTTATACACAAAGGGAAGATATTTTTGCTTCCTTTCCTTGTATGGAAGAGAAGGGAAGGCATCAGCAAGGGCAATGAAGGGACCAAACTGTACCTTGCCTTTGTTCATTTGTCCTAGAGACGTCCTTCCCCAGTTAGTCCATAGCTGGACTGGATCAACCCAACTCACAGCGCTGCCTCTTGAGTTGGCTCTGCCCTGTGTTTAAATAACAGGGACTGACAGGGTGGCCAGCCTCCAGGTGGAGCCTGGGAATCTCCAGAATTACATGTGATCTCCAGTCTAAAGATGTCCCCCTGGAAAAAAATAGCTGTTTTGATGAGTTGACCCAATGGCATTATAACCCACTGAGGTCCCTCCCTCTGCTCCACTTCCAAGTCTTCAGTAATTTCCCAACCCAGAGTTGGCAACCCTGATTGACTGATCAGTTTTGAAAAAATGTTCCTCAGACAGCTAGTGTTTACAGCCATTTTTTCACTCAGAATAAAACATTGTTGATCTTAAACATCTCTCTCTCTCTCTCTCTCTCTCTCTCTCTCTCTCTCTCTCTCTCTCTCTCTCCCCCCCCCCCCCCACATTCTCGGCCGAACAAA